CTCCACGGTCTCTGCTGTTGTCTTATTGCAGCCCCTGGTCTGAGCCTGCCAGCTCCTGGGCAATAGCAGGTCACAAGGACGGTCCCAGGGAGGGGACAAAAGAGGAGCCCAGCAGGTCATTGCATCCACTAGGCCCCATGAGTCTACAAGTTTGGTTCCAAAATGTATTTTTGGGAGTCCCTGGGTGGCACAAACATTAAGTGCTTGACTACTAATTGAAAGGTTGGCAGTTTGAACCCACCCAGAGGTGCCTTGGAAGAAAGGCCTGGCAATCTGCTTCTGAAAGGTCGCAGCCTTGAAAACCCCATGGAGCAGTTCTACTCTACACATGTGCAGTTGCCATGAGTCAGAACTGACTCAATAGCAGCTAAACAACAACATGTATTTGCTGTGTGACCTTGGCCTAGTTATCCCACTTCTCATTCTTCTAACAGGAAGCTTTCCTTCCCTGGGCCTTTAAGTGGGAAGAAGAGGGAAAATGAGGAGAGAGAAGAGAAGGGAAAGAGGGGATGGGGATGTGGGGGGGTGTCCTTATGAACCACAGTGAGAGAACAACAAGGCAGGAGAAAGTAGCGCTCTGAGTAAGTTCTGGCCACATGTGGTGCTTTCAAAAACACCGTGCACCTGCACAGCCCACGGCCTGACTCTAGACCACAGGGCCGGGTACAACCTTTCCAAGAACACTGTGGAGACATGGGGTCTGCTCCCCTCGTGGGAGGGAGGAAAGGGAGGAGCTGGGGCTGAGGTTCTTGCCTTTCCCCCAAGAATGGCCATCCCAGGGCAGCAGCATCCTCTGCTCATGCTAGCAACAAGAGGCTGGCCTGGCTCGGCTGAGGAGCCCGCTTTCTCCTTGTGAGCAGAGCCATGTGGGGGTGAGCGCAAACCCACAATTATCCCATTGTACATCTGTAGAACCTGCTCGACTGGAAACAGGTTGCAGCTATTTCTAACTCTGCCTGCAGCCCCCTTCCTGCTTGAAAATCATTTTTGGAAAAATAACATAAAATAAGCTGAAGTCGCCAGGAGCCTGTGTTTGGTGTGACCTGGCCTGAGCCTGACTCAGTGGCTGCCACACAGAGCTGGGCCGGCAGCTCCAGGGCAGCCGGGCTGTGGTGCCACTGGGGGCCAAGGAGGGGTGCCACCCAGTGGGCCATGCTGTAGTACTGCTAGGGGTCATAGTGCCACCTGGGGGTCTGGGCTGTGGTGCCACTGGGCATGCCATGGGCGGCATCTAAGGGGCAGGACAAGGAAAAAGGGGGCGGGTGGGTTGGGGGTGGGAAGGTTGCGCCCACCAGAGAAGGCAGTGAGCAGCTGGGACTCCTGGGTGTGGTGGGGAAGGATCTGTGCCCTGCGAAACTGAGACCCGCAGGCGGAAACGGCTGTCCACAGGTGACACTGCTAGTCTCCATCCCTAAACAGGCTGTGACAGATGTGTGTTCTGCAGATGGAGGTGCAAAGTTGTGAGGCACTTGCTAGTGGTGCACTTTCAAAAGTAGTGCACTAGAAATAGACATACCATTCGATCCAGCAATCCCACTCCTAGGGATATATCCTAGAGAAATAAGAGTCGTCACTCGAATAGACATATGCACACCAATGTTCATGGCAGCATTGCTCACAATAGCAAAACGATGGAAACAACGTAGGTGCCCATCAACAGATGAATGGATAAACAAACTATGGTACATACACACAATGGAGTACTATGC